AAATGTTTAAACTTCTACATTATACTCTGGGGGCGGGGAGTCTGGCGAGCTTCGCAGTCGGCGCCGTCACTGCTGCCGCCTTCTGGGGCGTCATAGTTCCCGGGACGCGCTCCTTCTGGGACGATCCGGTCGACGGGAAAATGTGGGCTGGGAGACTGGGCCTGCAGGCGCTGGGGCTGGGAGACGTACAGGTCAACGGAGGATGGGGGCTTGCACTCATGAGCGTTGTCACGGGTGTGATTGCAAGTGTCTCTGAGGCGATGGATGTTTTTGGATTGGACGATAATGTAGTCATACCGGTGTTGAGTGCTGTGGGCGTTTGGGGGGTTTTGAGGATTTTTGGGTAGATTTATTCTCGGCGGCGTTGGTGGGATGCGATAGTGAGAACGGCATGAAACAGAATGAAAAGGAATGGTATGGGTGTGCACTGGATGGAGTTGGTGGGGTTTTTTCTTCTCTTCTTTCCCTTTTCTTCTTCGTATGCTCAAGCTCTTTTCATTGCTATACTCATAGCACTTTATCCCTTACCCCTTATTACCTACCCTTCTACTCTCCTATTCTCTTATTTATTCATTTTCTACACTTCGCTCCTGTTTGTTTCCACCATCATGGGTATGAGTTAGCTTACACAACTAGTACTTGTTAGCGTAATGGTTCATCTCATCCTCCACTCTTGATTGCTATCACCCCCTTCCTTTCTATTTGTCTTTATCTTTATCTTTCTGCTTTTCTTTCCCCCCCTTCCTTTTTCTTTCTTTTTCTAGGAACAGTTGATTCGCCGTGCGTTTTATTTCGTCCGGCATGGCATGAGAAGATAAATCGTGTATGAATAGTATATTCATAAAGTTAGACTTTCTATTGTTGGGTTGTATGTTGATTTGTGTTTTCATTAGTGTATAGTTTGTACAGTAATCTAGAGAATATGGTGGGTTCTGGTTTAATTTCAAGGTACAGTATGATAGACATACGATATATGAAATCTGTTTTACGTTTTTACTACAACTTAGGTTGGTATGATTGGCACGGTAACGTTGGACGCGTGAACGGACTCACGGTAGCCAACGCAGACATTTCGCAAACATGCTGTGTTGACTCTTCGTCACGGACCCATTGGCATTCGTTATCGAGGTGGAGTACCGGTATTCAAACGCGCTGTCGGGCCCACAGCGGCAAAGGGGAGAGGGGACGATCACAGTCAGCTGGTGGAATTTATAATCCTACCCGATAACGAATCGACACTGTCGGACATGAATTTATCATTGCCCTCGTATGATAGCGTCAACATAGGATCAAATTATTCTGAGGGTTTAGGAAATGGGTGAATAAAACTACTAAGGGTGAGATAATAATTGTAATTTTCTCTGGAAATAAGAGTCCCATCGCCTGAAATATTATGGACTTTCCCAATCCTGTTGGTGCCATAAATACCAAGTCTTCCCCATCCTGTAGGAGGCAGATAGCATCTAGTTGAAGTTCTCTGGTGGTTGGTGGTTATCCCGAGGCCTGAGGGATCTTTTCCGAAATTTCAAATCATGTAGGTCGGCTCACGAGAATTGGTATGGGGAATTGAAATTGCTGATTATTTTATGATAGAGTTCTTGGCTTACAATGGTAGATGAGTTTTTTTGCTATGAGATATAAAATATGCATTATGATGTAAAAGTGTTTGCCATTATGATATGTATAATATATGATGATAGCACTTTACACCACTTTCAGATTTACATGATTTCCTAAACCCTCGGAATAATTTCCATCTTATCTCTGATCCGACATGACATGGATAAGATAAGCACTGATTTATACGATACACCGCTAAGGAAAAGGTTCGAGTGTCCCTGGGGGCTGAGAAAAGAATTTAGTTACTCAGACCCTAGGTACTCTAGGTTGATGATAGCTTGGGAAACGCCCCAAACACCAGAAGGCGCGAGGGACAGCAGGGGACTACCACTGCAGTATTGTAGTCGATATGGCGGTTTTTCCGACTAACTATTAACAGTGGGCAAAATATCTTCGAGTGATATATTGTGATGATCAAGCCGTTCGGCTTTTTTTTTCTGTTTCGGAGCGGGGGCCACCCACCCACCCGGTTCCGTTCTCGATTCTTGGGTTACCCAGCGTGTCATAGTGTGCTTGTGCTTGTGCTGTGTATTGCATGCCTAACTAAATTGTCATCATCACGCATGAATATGCCAGAGGCGCATGGAAATAGTAATTGGTGGAAAATGAGAGCAAAAAGAAATGGAAAAAATGAGGAAAATGTAAACCAACAAGATATTTCGGTGCCTCGTACGTCAATTTATCCTTTATCAGAATCTTATCCCATCCCATTTCATTTCTTAGCCAGGAGCGGAAACACAGTAAAAGAGTAAGGCGGAAATAAAAAATGTAGAAAATAGGGCAAGCTACTACATCAAAAGCAAACGGGAAGGGAAAGAAAAAAAGGGAAAAAAAAAGGAAACGCCCGACAAACAAACAACACAGCCGTGCAATAAGAGAGTATTTTAATAAAAGGCCCATCCATAACTTTTCCATCATTACCAACTCTCGAGTCAAACCGAATTAGATACCAACGTGCACTGCAAGCCCAAACATCTCCCCATCGAACCCCTGCGGGAACTCGCTCATAGCAGCCGTATTAAACATACTCTCGACTGCGGCGCGAACGTCATTGCCGCCAAAGGGCTGGTTGAGGGATGGCCAAGCGACTGTGCATTCTAATTGCTTGTGCGGGATCTGTGATGTCAAGTTAGCCCTCGGCACCAAAAACGAATAAAAGATAGAAAGGGAGGGGACAAACAGCCTCTATCTTAGCTCTAAGGTCAACCTTCACATCGCTCTTTCCAAGATTCAACACACCAGAGTTCTCTTTTAGTGCGCCGGATGGTTTGAAAACGCTCTGCAAGGCTGGTCCTCCTCCTATGCCGCCGCTGCTCGGCCCGCCGAGCTTACCGCTAGAAGAGGAGGGTGCGTTCTCCTTATCATACCCTAAGGAAGGCTTCTTGTTCTCCATGTCGTTCTCGTTCTCCTTCTCTTCGTCCACGGTGCTGCTCTCGCGGAGGCCGCTGCTAACGTGTGGTTTGAATTTCTCGGCAGCGCTGCGTTGGCGGTTTAGGGGGGTGGATTCCTTAGGCAGGCCGAGACCGAAACCGCCGGCTGGTTGAGGGGACGTGCCTAGAAGCCCACCGGCGATAGCGGGGGGGTGGCTGGAGGTGGTTAAAGGGGCGGGGAGCTGGGCATGGGACATTGTTGGTGGGGGCGGGGGGCCAGAGGAGATGTTTTCCTTGTCCGAGTCGGAGGAGAAAGACCATGTTGGGGCGGTTACTGGCTCCGGGGCAGCGGGGGTAGTTGTAGTAGTGGTGGTGGTGGTGGATGATGGGGAAGAGTTGCCAAAGAGAAAGGTTGGTACTGGGCGAATTGGTGTGGTAGAGGGGGAGGGAACAGATTGCTTGACAGGAGACTTGGGTGGCAGGGGCGATGGGGCCCTTTCCGGGGGTTCGCCTTCGTCTGGTACTTCCTCCATACTGGGTTGGGGGAATGAAGTATCGGTGTCAGACATCTCCGAATCGCCGTCGCCATCTTGTTCTGGGCCCTCCTGTCCGAGTTTCTTCCTAATCTCTCGTTTGAGGTATCGGTCTTCAGCCTCTTGCACTTTTCTCTCCTTTTCTCTCCTCTTCAAAAGTTCCAATTCCTCTTCGGCAGTGAGTTCCATAGGCTCACTGAGCTCAGGACTTCTCTTCTTCCTGCGAGAAGTTGTTCCTTTCGGTCTCGAGTAGGGGTCATAACGGTTAGTCCTCTTTGCAGACTTCATGCGTTCGATAAAATTACTGGGCCTATGGAAACTGCTGCTTTGGGTGGCAGTGGGTGAGGCTGATCTTCCGGGTGTCTTGCTGGAGGGTGCTAAGGTTGGAATGATCCTTCTCGAGGGGGGAGGTAGAGTACGGGGAGCGACCGCTACCTTAGGTTTTTGATATGCAAACAAGACTTCGCGGCTTGGGGTTTCGTAACAAATCTCCACTTTTCTCTGTTCTCGCCTAGATGATGGTTGAGACGGGGTGCGCACGGGCGATGGAGGAGCTTTTCCAAAGCTTCCTGGAAGTGACAGCCCCTCATTGTCTTCAAAGTCATAATCTTGGGCGGGAGTCTCTTTGGGAGTTTGTACCTCCGGCTTAGTGGATCTGAGCTCTGCAGGATCACCCAAGATTGCCTTGACTGGCTTTTTAACACTGGCTGGAAGGATGGCGCCGAGCCATTGTCCCCATGTCTTCTTGCCTGTCTCAGGAACTTGCGATTCCCTCTTGGGTGATTTTGTCGGAGTTTTGCTCGGCGTAGTTGTTCGAGAAAAGATATTTCTGCTCGGAGTAATCGAAAATTCTTGCTCCCGCTTCTTATCCTCCGCTTCTTCCTGTTCCTCTCGTCCATCCGACTCAGGTTCTATATCTTCTCGTGGGCTTTCTCTAGCGCCGCTCATGGTGTATTTGGACCTTTTTACCGAGGCAGTAGCAGTAGTCTCGTATGTAGTCTCCGTGCTAATGAGCTCGCTCTCCCTATCGATCGTGGCATCCTTCGAAATCTTCGCGCGCATCAGAGCCCGTGAAGTGGTGGTTGAATAAGGAGTAGATCTGTGCGCCGACCTTGGGCGCAGAGGTGTGATCAATGCAGAATTGCGCGACCCCCTGGTGGGAGTTGAACTGGCGAGTGGAGAAATCATGCAAGAAGTTGAGGCCGCAGGACTGGAATCTGAATCATGGTTGTCAGTAAAAATGAACAAACCGTTGAGATAATCCTCCTCCTGGTAGGTTCTAGAAATAAGGAAATTTTTGCAAACATACTACCGGCATCCCCTGGGCTTAACGCTTGAAAACCACTCTTGTTTCCGCTGAATGAGACGGGCGTTCTTTCGATATCCGAATCGTCCTCGTCGTCGCTAAAAAGCCCGAATCCTCTCCTATCTTTAACCGCTGAGCGGTCGATTGTGAGGCGGCTCGACATCACCGGCCTCGCTCTTTTCTTAGGCTGTATTGTCAAGTGTCGTAGGAAAAAATGGGTGGATCAAGTATAAGCAGATGGTGAAACCTATTATGTTGATGTGTGAATAGTATTTATTGCAGAATGCGGGTGGCAGGAAAAAAAGGAAGGGGGAGGGAAGGGAGAGGATGGGTTCTTTGTCAGTTGATTGTTGTTGGGACGACGAATCGAGGGTCATCGCCAGTCTTGGCGGAGGGTGTGACTATTAGGGTTAGCGCGGGCAGCAGGACTTTGCTGGAGGAACGCGAGTCGCCAAATCAATTTGCGTGATCATCATGGACGCGGCTGAGACGAGCGCTTCAAGAACATGTATTTTATTGATGCCTCTGTGCATCTTATGTATTTTGGACTTGTATTCTATCTAGAAAGACCCGTTTCTTGTGCTTAAATGGGAGTTTTGATTATTTTTAGAAGGGGCTGCTGCTCGCGAGATGCTTGGTCACGTGGCCTGATGTGGTGCCCCTAATGATCGCAATGCTCCAAGTTGCCTTAGAGCGGCATCATAATATTATCATAATATTCGACCAGTGGAGCAACTGTTCGAGTACAGTACTCATGTGGTAACCGTAGAATTACGGGAGACGCTCTGTGGGTGAAAATATTTTCAATACCAGTGTGTACTAGTGCTGCTAATCATTTAAGGTGCAAACCTGCCATCCG